AATCTGTTCGCGGAGCGCCCGTTCTTTCTCCGGCCCTTTCCTGAGCCGCTCGGCGTCCGCGGCGCGTGCCCCCTCGTACTCTGCTTCCATCGCCTTCGCCAACTCCCGTGTCCGCATCTCGTGGTCCCGGTACCTCATATTCCACTCGTCTCGGCATCTGCCGACCTCCGCGGCGGAATTTTCTCTCGCCGCCCGGAAGTCCTCAAGCGACGCCTCCAACACACGCACGCGCTCTGCATTGCCGGCACCGGCCCCTGCATCTCGACATGCCTTCAGCTCGTCGCCGACTCTCTTCAGGGACGCGTCGGCCTCCCGGAGCTGACCCTCGGTCCCTTGCAGCCGGCGCTCGCTCTCTAGCATATCCGCCTCGCTCCTCTTCAGGCGGTCCTCGAGCTCCGTCTTCTGCGTGGTGAGGCTGGCGAGCTGCTGGCCTCCGTTCGCCAGGCGTCGTGATGCCGTGTCGACGAGGCTCTCGACCGTCTGCGCGGGATCGACTCCGAGCGCTCCAGTCAGACGGCCTCTGAGGCGCGCCGCGCCCGCCGTCGTGCACGACGTGACGGCGCGTAGCTGCGTGAGCATGAGAGGGACGGGGCCCGGGTTCTGAGGAGGAGCGGACGGCGTGTCGTCGAATAGTATCCGCGCGGCGCTTTCCAGGTCGCCCGAGATCCGGACGATCCCGTCCGACACCGCCACGACCTGTTGCATGGCTATCGAGGCCGTCTGCGTCGTCAACGTGGGCGGCTGGACGGCGCTCGAAGCGATGGTCCGCAGATACTCGACGACCTGCCTCGCATCGTGGTACGAGTTCCTGTGTCTTTTCAGGAGCTCCACCGTCGACCTGGTATTTCGCTTCTCCGGCGCACCGTATCCCATGGCCACCTCCCCGTCGAGCTCGCGGAGCAGCGCGGTCGCGTCCGCCACGTTGTTCTGGCCCGTCTCGGTCAGCAATGCGGCGACGAGCGTCTCCGCATCCGCCGCGGTCCGCATGTCGGTGCCGCAGACGAGCCTGACGAGCCCCGGGCACTCCAGGGCGACGGGCGCCCCACCGCGCGCGTTCAGGACCTGGGGCGTGAGCGTCAAGAGCGTCGTCTCGGGCGAGAGCGGCGTGTCGGCGTCTCCCTTTCCGAGGCGGGTGAGACATTGCCCCCGGACGTTCCGGGCAGACTCGAGGAGGAACTTAATCTCTTCCGGAAGGACTTTGTACTTAAACTTCCAGAGGCCCGGCTCCGCATACAGGGTGTTTCGGAGGGCCACCAGGTCGAGGTCTGAGCCGTGGACCATGCCGGCGCAGAGCTCCAACTTCGCGGCCAGATCCTCGCAGCGTCTCTTGAAACCATCACCGTCCCCCACACTCAACCGTATGTGCTCTTTTAGGGCCTGGATGGCGGCCGGGAGCAGCACCCCGTGCGCGTCGAACGCCTCCTCGAGCTTCTCGAGCACGGCCCCGGATGCCAGGAACCGGACGGAGTTCGTCTGCAGGAACCGGATGGCGCAGTCGGCATCGCGTTCGCCCCCGGAGCAACTGGTCTTCTCGAAGCCGTAGTTCTCCAAGTTTCTCAAGATCTCATCTATGTCCTCGACCAGCTTCCCGTGATCGTCCACGATCTCGTCGATCGATTCCAGCCCGGTTTCGGCGTAGAGGTGCTCCATCCGTCGGATCGCGTCCTGAGGGTCGACCGCGGCCGGTGCCGGCACGTTCGCGCAGACGAGGGCTACGACCCGCCTGTTCGCTTCCTCGCCTCTCTCGACCGCTTCTACGAGCTGCGAGAGGGTCGGGCCGGCGACTAACGTGGCGCGTCGGAGACGTTCCGCATCATTGGTGGCGATCGCTTCGACGATCTCAGCGACGAGTCCACTCCAAGCGAGACGAGCGGAGGCGCCGTCGTCCGGGGCCAGCCGGGAACGGGCTGCGGGCGTTGACCGACTGTCGGTGGAAGTCCTCGGACCAGGCGAGGAATCGCCGAAGTAGCTCCGATAGCGGCGCGCGACTTCCCGGTGCGGACAGTAAGATCCTGTGGGCCGCGGTGGGGTCGGGTGCACCCGAGGGACCGAACAGCTCGTACAGACCGCGTCTCTCCTCGTCCGCCGCGCGCGCCCAACTCCGGAAGAGCTGTGCCGTCATGGGCAGAACCCGTGCGATGTTCCCGTCGATTCGCTCTCGTGCCTTGGAGGTCCAGATTGGGTCGTACATATCGACGCCGAGTTCGACGTCTTCCGGGGGGCTGATGCCATTGGTGACCGCGGGCGGAGGAGGTCCAGTCGGTGCGAGCACGCGCATCAGCTTATCGTAAGCGCCGACGAACGCAACGTACTCCTCGTCGCCCAGCAGTCCTCTCAACGAGTTCTCTCTGGCCTTGGCGTCGTTCAGGAGGGCCATGGAGGGAAGGTTGATGAGGCCATTCTTGTACAGGCGGCATTGCTCGTACAGAGCATGGATGGATGCCAGGAGGGCGTCGAAGCCCGTCCCGCGTGCGGCGTTTGAAGCGATCTTCAGCTCGGTGGGCCGGGAAAACGCATTCCGCAGGAGCTCGACCCGCCGATAGTCTTCCGACGGGGGTGGATCGGGGCCCGTGAGGAGGCCGATGGCGCTCACGAGCCGATTCTTGCCCCGGACGCCGTCGTGCAGCGGCGCGAGCTTGTTCGTGATCTCGTCGAACCACTCGCGGACGTATGGGTCCTTTTCCTGGAGAACCGCACGAGTTTGGCTGACCTGTTCCGTGCGCGCGCCCGACTCCTCCCCTATGATCGAGGAAGCAGGATCGCGCAGGTAGTCGGCGACCTCGTAGACTCGACACGCTCGCCGGGTTTGCTCGTAGAACCAACGCAGTATGTCTTCGTGAGTGGGGCGCGCCGCTTCGATCGCATCCGACACCGCCGTGATGCTCCCGCAGAAGGCCTTGAGGTCCGCTCGCACCGCCCGCACGGGGTCGTTGACCGGTGAGCGCGCGACCGCCGCTTGTGTGTCTTCGAATACCTTGCGGACGGATGCGTACAGCGCAGCGCTCGACCGCAGACGTCCGACCACCGGAACGAGATCCGCCACGCCCTTCGCACCGAGCTCGGCTTCGAGGACGTCCCGAGGCCCGAGGGTCGCCATGAGGGCCTCCGGCCCGTCTGGCGCGGCCAGGGCGAAGAGGCGGTAACGCTCTCGCTGCCTCGCGACCGCTCCGACCGACGCGACGAGGCTGCTCGCCTCCGGAGAGAGATCGTTTCTATGAAGGAGCGAGTCGAGGCCGGTCATCAGGACGTCCGCACGGACGTGAGCCGGTCGATCGGCGTACGCGTTCGCCCCGGTGCCTCCTATCAGCGCCGCGATAACGTGGTCGGTGTCGATGATCTTCTTGAGGAAGTCACACGTGTTTGCGACCCGCTGATCGTGCTGTCCCGGCCGGCACACGCGTTCCAAGAGCCCTCGGGCGCGATCGGGAAGGCCGGCGAGGTCGCCGTCGATCAGATCCGTCAACAACGTTTCGGTTTGCTGCGGGCATACCGCCCACATCGTCCGTAGGAAGGCGCCCAGATCGACCCGATGCCCTTCGGCGAGCTTCGCGAGGGCTTCGTTCGCGGTGCGGTAGACGGTGACGAGGGCGACCGCGTCGGGCCTTTTTTTGCGCATTGGGCGCCAGGACTCGCAGCGCGTCGCACGCTCCCCTAGGCCACTCGGTCACGAACTTGAAGAGGTCCGTGAGGTACCCGAGCGCGATCTTGTACGACTCCAATTCTTTGTGGCACCTGGCGCTCTCCTCGTCGTCCCCCATCTCGTCGTCCGTCCGGAAAGCCGCCTGGAGCTTGAGCAAGAAGCCGTCGAGTTGGAACTCACCTCCGATGGCGGCCCTCGCTTCGTCGTACTTTTGCCCGAGTTCCGCCGCCTCGGGCGTCCTGAATGGGGCTTTCATGGCTGCCAGAGCGTCCTTGGGCCCGCTCCCGGACACGTCCGAAAACCCGACCAGACCATCGAGCAGTCGGACGAGCGCTCTGAATCTTTCCCCGCTTCGGCCGGCCGAGGCGTTCCCCATCTCGTCGTCCGTCCGGAACGCCGCGTGGAGCGCGTCTGTGAATTCCTTGAGGTTGAACCGCCCCCGGAGGGCGGCCGTCGCTTCCTCGTACGTTCCCAGGAGTTGCGCTGCCTCGGGGGTCGTACTTCTGGTCCACAAGGCTCTCACCGCCGCCTGGGGCCCGCCCGTAAACGACATCAGACCCCTGAGCACTCGGACGAGCGCCTTCAGGATGTCCTCGGCATCCCCGCCGTCGCGCCGTTCCTTTTTCGCCCTGCTGATCGCATCGAACATCCGATGAGCGAGGTTGCCGGGAGCCTGCTGCTCGATCGGACTTCCAGGTTGGAGCGGAAACATCTCTGCCAGCTTGCCGCTGAGTCGCACCGTATAATCCATCCACGACTCTCCATTCCTCTTCTGTTCGACCCCCGGCACGGGCCAGTCCTTGTGCAGTTTGTTCGCTCTATTCGCCTGGTGCGGCGGCGCCATGACTAGAGTCTCTCCCCGCAGCATGATGTGGATGCCGTAGAGTACTCGATGTGGGCAGCACCACACGTAGAGTCCGCGGGTGTGAGGCAGCTTGCTCGGCTTCGCGGATTCGTGCCCCGCACACCGAGCCTCGGCCGTGCTGGACTTTCCGCTGTCCGTCTCGAACTCCGCGTAAAAAGGCAGCGGCCGCTTCTTCTCCCAAAACGGGTACCAGCACAGGTCCTCCCCATCCGAAGTGAAGTCGTCCAGCGCCGGCCCCGTCTCCCCCAGATTCTCCCTGAGCAATCCCCGCTCGACCTCGCCCAGAAGCTCCGCGGTGTTGGAGAAACGCTCGAGCGCATCCATCGCCCTGTGCGCCGCCGCTCTTCTCTCGGGATCCGGGGGGGGTGGGTTCGGGTTCGCGTCCCACTGTGGGTTCGGGTTCCACCACTGTGGTTGCGGGTCCCACCACCACGACGAGTCATGGAAGATCCGCCACGCCTCTCTGGTCCACTCGGGATACGCAACGCCCCCTCTCCCATAGATGCTCGACTTGTACAGCGCCTTCAACACGCCCATGAAGAACGACGGCAGCCGTCCCTCGTAAGAGTCGAGGAGCCGGCGCAGTATCGGGCTGTTCTCCCCCCAATCCAGCCGATCCTGCTCGGTGACCCTTTCGCCGAGCACGATCCGTCTAGCCACCCTGAGGGAGTGTTCCGTCTGCAAAATCTTACTGTCCTCGTCGTGGCTGTTGAGATCGTACATGATCTCTTTCCACCGCTCGGGGAACCGTTTTAGGACGACCAGCGTATTTCGATCATCAGTTGGCATACGCCCCGCTTCTGCCTCGGCTTCGATCCCCTCGACCAACCATCGCATCGCATAGTGCCTCTTCGCCGTCAGACCCGTCAGCAGCACTTGGTAGTACTGGTGCACGCTCAGAGGTTCTCCTCTCGTCGGAGGATTGTTCACTCCCTCGTCGGGGTCGTGCTGAGCGGACGGCCGGTGTTGGCTCAAGCGCGCCAGCAGCCTTCGGAGCGTGTCCTCGGGCACCACCCGCCTCACCGTGAACGACCCGCCCTGCGAAACGCGGGAGATGCATCATGCGACATGTTTCAGACAGCGCGCAGTCTGCATACAGAGTAGGCTGCGAGTACCGTGACGACGGGCTTTCGATCCATCGTGAACAGAAACGACCGGGAAGCGTCGCGTGTGACTCACCGGGCTGACCCCCGAATAGTGCACGCCCGGCGTCCGAGTCTTCTGGAAGGGCACACCGTCCCGCTTATCTGGGTGCGTGAAGCTGGCTCGCCCGTTCTGAGTGGTGGAAGCGATGCCCCCCTTGCGCTCGCTGCCGTCCTTGTTCGCCAACCCGAAGAGTCCGTCGCAGATCAGATACTTGGGATGATGCCCGCAGAGGGAACAACAGCGCGGCTCCTCGTGCTTCTGCTTCAGCGCAAAGTAGCCCATCGCAGCCTCTCGTAAAGTCTTCTCATCGAGCCGCGTAGATGGCCCGAACTTCGAGCTCACGCTCTTGAACAGATCGCTCTGCCGGCTGAAGTTGCTCCCCCCCTGCACGCGAATGAGGACGCTACTCAGAACAGACGGTAGAGGGACGATTATGGTGCTGCCGCATGTACAGAGAGGCAGGGTTTGGTCGGAACTATTCTAATGAGTCAAAGGGTGCGTGGCGAGCCTTTGAGCAGGGAATTAGTCAGTTCTTTGAGTACGTTTTGTATCGTCTGAGGATAATCTTCATCAACAGCGTCCTCCCCAACGATGTCCACGAGTTGTGATCTGGTAAGTGGTTGATGATTCTTATCAAAAAACACAGAGCTGCAAGCTACTCTGTAGGCGCACAGGCCTCCATGAGCATCCATGACCGTCTCTATCACCCTCCGGTAGTCCTGCGGTCTGACTTGCATCGGCACTTATTAAATTCGAGTACGAGAAAATTACCTCAGTGCCTGCCGCGATTTCGACAGCTGCTTACCTGCAGGCCCGCCAGAAACGTTTCGCAGCACCGCTGGGTCAGGATGATGCCCCTGCTGTAGGTGTACAGCTGCAAGTGCTCGCCGTCGAAGTGGACCGTGTGCCTCTTCTCGCAATTGCACGTGTAGTGGTACACCTGCGTCTCGAGGGTCCACTGCGCGTCGTAGATGGTGACGCCCTTCTCCGGCGTCAGCCTCCACGTCGTGAGACAAGGGGGTGGAGCTTTCGGGCAGGGGGCTAGGAACCTGCCTCTAGCGCCCAACTCCCTGAAGTCGGAGAACCCCATCTGGCTCGACCGCAGTGGGTTCCGCAGAGCAGTGATCACGGGGTCGTGGACCCGTTCGTCCGCTCGGAGGACCCTGGGCGCCGTCCGCTGCACGCCCTTGGCGAAGAGGCTGAGCACCGGAGCCGACTGCGACGGTCCCCCCTCCCCGTGCACGCACACCCCCACGCACTCCACGCACACCGGAACCGAACTCTCCTCGAACCCCACCGCCGGCTGCTCGGCCGTGCTGAACAAGTCCACCTTCGGATGCGCGTCGAAGTCCTTACCCCTCCTGCCGGCGTAACCTCGCTCCCCTCGCTCGGCGTCAGTGACCGGCGGTGGGTCGGCGCACCGTTTCACGGCCCGTTCGGCATCCTCGAGTGCCTCCTCCGACCCCTCCCTGAACTCCAATCGTTCTCGGCACATCTCGCAGCCCGGCCTGTCATGCGGTCTTATGTCGATGCGATATCATGTCGGTGAACAGACTGAGGCGCTCAGGCTAACGGCGAAAATGAAAAAGATACGTCATTCCAGGTCACTCATACGGCATACACACATCATCCATGATCCCTCCCCCAA